AAAGAGTGTCTGTTGTTGGGAAATGAGTGATCATGAGGGAGGAGGGTGATGCCCAGGTAACAGGTCACACCTCCTGTCAGGTAGTTGTATGGAAACATCTAGGCAGGACGCACTGTGGCCCTGTGTGTGTGTGTGTGTGCATGTGTGTGTGCACGCATGCACCTACACACGTAGGACAGAGGTTGATGTCGACTGTCTTCGTTGGTCATGCTCCACTTTATTTTTTTGGTCTCTCAGTGAGACCGGAGCTTGTTGATTGGCTAGGCTGGCCAGCCAGTGATCCCCAGAGATCCTCCTGTCTCTGCCTCCCCAGTGCTGAGATGACAGGTCCGTGCTGCCGTACCCACCATTCTTACATAAGTTCTGAGGATTTGAACTCAGGTCCTCATGCTTATGAGGCAAATGCTTTTCCAGCTGAGTCGTCTGCCAGCCCAAGTTTTTGTATAATAACGTACTTGTTATGTAGTTACGACTCATGAACTGTTTTCTAAATTATATTCCTAGGTTTATTTCCCATCAATGAAATCGTTTTGTGTTGCTCATAATAAAATCCTGCAGACTGAGTAGGTTATGAAGAAAAGAGGTTAATCTGGGGCCCATGGGCTTACATCTATTGGCATCTTCTTGCTGGTGGAGGCCTGAGGCAGTGCAGGATGTGACTGTCTATAGTGGAGGAGAGATTGTCTATGAGGGCAAACATCTCTCCTGAAGGCCCCACCCAACCCCACTCTCTATAATGCACAGTGGTGATGGATTTGAGTTGGGTTTTATTGGGGACATACCACAGATCAAAAAGATAGGCTTAACTGTTTTTATTCTATTCTATTTAATCCTTTTTAAGAAAAACTTGAGACAGGGTCTCTCTTAGTGTCAGCTGGCCATGGATGTGAGGCTGGCCTCCATCTCACAGATCTGCTTTCCTCTGCCTCCCGAGTGCTGGGATTGAAGGCGTGTGCCACCACAGCTGGCCTATGTAATCATTTTTTAAATGACTTTCCTTCACTTGAGCTTTTAATGCAGTTGGATGTTTGTCTAAGGCAGGAGGAGGCCCTAGGCCAGTCAGCTTTCTGTCATTACAAAAAACACCTGATGACAACTAGTTGAGAAGCAAAAAAATTCATTGTGGCCTGTTTTGAAGGTTTCAGTGTAGCCTTTGGTGACCACCACTGTGGCCCTGTTCCTTTTGGGCCTGGGGGGAGGCAGCCCATCATGGCTGAGTGTGGAGTAGAGACCTACTCACCTCGTGGCTGGGATGCAAGAAAGGAAGAGGCTGGGGTTCCTCTGTCCCCCTCAAAGGCCTGTCCCAGTAACCCCAAAACCTCCTACCAGGCCCCACTTCCTAACAGCTCTACCTCCCAAAGGTGCCATGCCAGGACCAGGGCAGAGAGTAGTGGGAACTTGGGGACCTCAGAGGAATGGTTGGAGCCAGGAGAGAGAAGGGAAGCAGGGTGTAGGGGGTTCCAGGAGCTGCTGGCAAAACCAGCCCACAGGGCAACTAGGTGGTAGATGTGAAGTGCTGGGCTGAGAGGGTCATGTGGAGGTTGTGCCTTCCATGTAACAGTGCTGGAGCATGTCTCTCTTTTGATTTGTGTTGAACTCCTGAGAACCACCAATTCCTAGTGGAGTCTAGAGATATAAGAGCAGTGGGGCTTTGGCTCGGTGGGCAGTTCCTATGTGTCAGTGCTCTTGGTACAGAGTGAGTCCACCTGTCCACAGCCTAGTTCCTCCAAGCTACCTTCAAGTGTGGTTACCCATCGTCTGTGGCCACAGCCACCAGACACAGGCTCTGAGTGTTTGTCCCTAAACTCAGTTCACTGCCTCACAAGGCCCTGTGCCAGAGCCTTCAGATGCACACAGCACAGCCCCAGCATCTGGATGGTCCCCACTTTGTGGGGAGGGGTAGCCACAGTGGCCACATACTGAAAACCTGGCTTTACTCTGTGGAGATTCCTGAGGGGTCAGGACAGGTGAGTGGGAGCTGGTGGGCTGTTCCTGCTGTCCACACTGTGATTTGGCCCCACCTGCCCAATGTCCCTGCTCCATTGCTCTCCTGGCCCCGTCTGCCCTGATCCCTCCAGCAGCAGCACCCTTGGCTGAGGTAGTCCTCCTTTACCTCAGGAACCCCATGGGCCGCACAGGGCTGCGAGGACGCGGGAGCCTCAGCTGGTTTGGACCAAACCATACACTGCAACCGGTGGTCACTCGGTGAGCCCCATACCCAGCCCCATCTGCATCTTGGCTCCTAAGACACCTCCATCCCTATGTGCTCCAAGGGCTTAGGGGACGGTTTGGGTGCTTGGTATTGTGTGAGGCCTGGGGCTAAACACAGCCTGAAATAGGGCTGGGATGCCTGTACCCACTCTCTTTGAGAAAGCCCAGGCCTTTCCTCCTTCCCTGGAGGCTGCTTAAGTTTCCTAGGCCCCCCACTTACCCTCACTAGGGGGCTGTCTGTGGACCTACCAAAGAGAAAAAGTTAAACTACAAAAAAAACCAAAAAACAAAAACAAAACCCCCCAAAACCCACTAACCCCCAAACCAAAGGATAAACACAGTAATTCCACTGTAATATTGGAATTTGGGGTTTTCTATTAGCAGATACGCACACATCCACACTCAAACACATGGCCCAGCCACACCCCCTCCCCCAGCAAATCCCCGCACATGCGCAACCACACTGCACTTACTCCTTCAAGCTCGTTTAACCCTCAGGTGCTCCCAACCCAGGGTGCCAGCCACCTTCTGGGCAGGTGCTGACAGACTGACCCTGGGGTTCCCACCCAGGCACAGAGCCCAGCGGTCATTATTCTGTCAGTGCTCACAGTGACTGGGGAACGACCTTCCCTGAGAGGTCACTGCCTGTTATCGCTGGGGACCAGGTGCTTGGTAGGGGAGCATCACGAGCTGGTTATGGACCTGCTGTTGCCCGCAGGCCAGGCCAGCCCCTGCCAGCGGCTCTGGGGCCTGGTAGGTACAAGTGGGTCCCCTGTGTAGGTGGAGGAGAAACCTGGATGGTGCCATCTGCCGGAAGAGCGTCAAGAAGATGCTGGAGGTGCTGGTGGTGAAGCTTCCTCACTCTGAACACTGGGCCTTGCCAGGGGTAAGCTAGCGAGAGTGGCGGGGACCTTAGCTGTTCCTGTCCCACCATCTCCTGCCAATCCCATTCACTAGCTATCCAGTCACAGCAGGGACAATGGCAGTCCCATCCTCTCCTCTGTCTTCCTTGGGTGAGTTGATGGGGTTGCAGTGCCTCTTGAGAGCCCCTCCGTCTCCCTCAGAGGCTCACACTCTGGGGTATGGGCACTAAACAGCCTCTGCTGTAGGTCAGGCCAGGCTCCCTGGGTGGCTGAGCTCAGTGCAGAGACAACAGGGGCTCAGTTGTGGATTGGCCCTCCCCCTCCAGATCCTGAGCTGAACCCAAAAAACAGAACTGTGCTGTGCAGGGCCAGGGGCACACAAGCCTCTGAGCTCAGGGCAGTAGCTGGTGAAGGCATCAAGGCAGGAGGGCACTGCAGAGGTTCTGTGATGATGACAGAATTGGGGTGCAAAGGCTCAGGCCATTCCTGCCCTTGACTCCAAAGTGCTTGTTTTCTCCCGGATCAGCGTGTCCTGTTCCCCAGACCTAGCCTAGGGCAGGGTTCAGAGAGCCTCATCCTGCCAGGAGGGTCAAGTGCAGTCTGACCCTGCCTGTGGTACACAGTATCTGTGATGCAGCCCATCTGGTAGAGCCTCTACTCTGTCCCTGACCTGTGATTCTCCCCAGTTCAGCAAGAAGCTGCCCCACCCTTCTGACCTTAGCCCTGCCCCCATAGTCCAGTGGCTGACTCTACTGTTCCTACCGAGAACAGTGGTACCAACCAGGGTCTTTAGGCTACAGCATAGATTTCAGGGTCAGGACAGTGTCTGGGTTTTCCAGGTGCTGACAGCCTAGCAACAGGGCAGGCAAAACGAACTGGGAAAACCAGGAGGATACAGCACCTGCCCCTCTCCGGTGCCAGGGTAGCTGGAGGCAGTGTCAGGGGCTCATTTGCCTTCACAAGGCACAGTGGCCTCCCTGTGCCTCTGAGGTTGGCCCTCAGTCCCACATTCCTGCTCAGCCTGCAGGCTGCTGACAGGGACAGTGGGTCTGGGCAGTGTTACTCAGCCAGGGCTCAGACTCTGGACTGACAGACTCTGCCTCCTTCACTTCCCCAGGGGGCTGGCTGGCGGCCCACATCAGGCAGGTGGCCACAGGAGATGGACCCCAGGGTGGCCTGGGATCTGGCTTGCATGCCTTGCTGATGGGCCTTCACCCCTCTCTGCTCAGGGTTCCCGGGAGCCAGGGGAGATGCTGCCTCGGAAGCTGAAGCAGGTTCTCCGGAAGGAGTTCTGGGTGGTCTTTGAGAATTTGCTGGTGCAGGGCACAGAGGTAGGACTGGCCCTCCTGCCCTGCCCTGCTGTGTATGGAGCTCCCTGCGTGCCGGGTGACAGCATCCTTGGTCTCCAGGCTGGGCACTGTGCTCACTTCTTTTTAAAAGATTTATTTATTTTTAAATATTTTATTTATTATTTTTATTTTATGTGTACGAGTGTGTTGCCTGCATGTATGTGAATGCACCCATGTTGTGCGATGCTGTGGAGGTCAGAAGAGGGTGTTGGATTCCCCTGGAACTGGAGTTAAAGTCGGTTCATAGCCACCATGTGGGTGCTGGGAATGGAACTCGGGTCCTCCGCAAGAGCAGTCAGTGCTCTTAACCATTGAGCCATCTCTCCAGCCCCTATTTATTTATTTTTATTTTATGTGTACGAGTGTATTACCTGCATGTGTGTAAGATGTGTGTCGGATCCCCTAGAGTTACAGATGGCTGTAAGCTGCCATGTGGGTGCTGGTGCACTCCTGTCATGCAGTGCCCACGGAGGGCAGAAGAGGATGTCGGATCCCCTAGAGTTACAGATGGCTGTAAGCTGCCATGTGGGTGCTGGATTTGAACCCCGGTCTTCTATAAGAGCAGCCTGTGCTCTCATCCACTGAGCTGTCTCTCCAGCCCCATGTGCTCACTTTGGGAGCCTCCACCTCCCTGGCTACAGTGGGCAGCTCCATCTATGCACAGAAGTTTGCGTTCCTGACTTGAACTGCAAGCAGTCAGTGGCTAGCTTTTTATCCACATCAGCAATGCTATTTTTAGGTCCAGATTTAAAAATTCATCTCCCTATTTGTCAGGAGTAATGTGTAGACACATGTGTGACCAATCTCAACAGCCCTCTAAGGGGCACAGTCCAGCTGTTCTGCATCCTAACAGGAAACGAGTCATGAACAGGAAACCAGTTGGCACCATCCGCAGTGCTTTACAAGGCACCACCACCTTCTCTCTTACTCTTTTAAATAGAATTTATTTTCTTGTTAAAGCACATTCACATAACACGAATCTAAAACTTGGGGGTGAGCACTTCTGTGGTGTCTACACATAGCATTCTGTGGCCACCATTGCCATTTAGTTCCCACACATTTCAACACCCAAAGAAGCCCCACCCCATCCCTGGTGCAGACACCTGCCTGTGTCTCTGGGATCACAGTTCTGAATGCCTCTTTTGAGTTGGGTCCTGCAGTGGTGGCCTTGGTTATCTGAGTTCTCTCTAAACAGAATACTTTCAGGGTTTACTAGCCTTTGAGGGTGAGGTCTCTGGAGTCCTAGCATAGGCAGGAGTGTCCTATGTTTTAGGGACCTTTGCCACAGGCTGGGAATAGGGTCAGTAGACTGTGGGTCCTGAGATTGGTCAAGAAGGAGCCTTGTACTAGGCAGGCAGCCCTGCTTAGAAGGCAGACCAGGGGCTAGGTAAGGGTGACCAGCCATGTGCAGAGCCTGCCCAAGGAGGCCCTCTCTGTGGATCTGAGTCCCTCTATGGTGGCTGGGGAGGGAAGTCAGGGGCCTATTACTAGACCAGCTCACCCTTGCCCTGGCTCCCAGGTGTACAAAGGGTATGTGGATGACCCCAGGAACACAGACAACGCTTGGATTGAGACAGTGGCTGTCAGCATACATTTCAAGGACCAGAGTGATGTGGAACTGAAGAGGTTGGAAGAGGTACGAGGCCAGACTCCAGAGCTGGGAGCAGGGCCAAGTGCTCTGGACTAATGTGGGGGCCTCCCAGTAGTGGGCTGCCTGGGCTCCTGGGCCAGAGCTGCTTAGAACAGAGAGGGGAGGCTTCTGGGACTGACTCTTCTCCAGGAGGGACCAAGGAGGTGCCAGGGAGAGGCCAGAGGGCTATAACAGAGGGTGAACAGTGAGACACAAGGGGCTATGTGGTCCCTGCACCCAGGTCTGAGTTCTGTGAGCAAATACTTAGAAACAAAAGGCAGGAAGGGAGGGAGGGTTTACTTGGCTCAGGGTTTGAGGGTACAGTCCATCATGGTGGGGAAGTCACGGCAGTGGGAGTGTGAGGCGGCTGGCCGTGCCACATCCACAGTCAAGAAGTGGAGAGTGCACCAGCGTTCGCTCAGCTCGCTTTCTCTTTATGCAGGGACTTCATCTCAGGATGGTGCCGCCCACGTTCAGGATGGGTCCTCCCATCCCAGTTAACCTAATATAGAAACTCCTTTCCAGACATGCCCAGAGATTTGTCTCCACTGTCACTCTCAATCCTGTTAAGTTGATATTAACCTCACAGAAGGACTTGAGGGTTGTGTCCAGGGTGAGGCTGGCCTGGCCTCTGCTCCCTGTGCCTCTTTATGGAACATTTATCCCCTGGCACGAAGGGTGACCCTCCTCATTCCTGATTCAGAACTGGGGTGGGGAAGCCCTGCCCTGTGAAATCCAGGTTGTCTGGCAAGATTGCGGCTCCTGAGTAAGGTCCCTTTCCCTTACCCTTCACTTGGGTCTGTGGGGCTCAGCAGGGCCAGCTTGGCCATCCAGAATAGGCACTCCTGTCCTGCATCACACAACAAGCAGGCTGTGGGCAGGAGGTGAGACTGTAGGCCCCTCTGCCCCCTGCAGCCTGAGGATTCAGGGTGCTGGGTGAACATAAGCTCTCTATCCTTGCAGAACCTGCATCCCCATGACCCGGAAGTGTGCACCGAATGGCAGGTGGTGGACAGGCGTATCCCTCTGTATGCAAACCACAAGACCATCCTCCAAAAGGTGGCCACACTATTTGGAGCTCACTTCTGACTGTGGACTTGCAGCAGCTCCATAAGCAGGCGAGGCCATCCATCAGTCAACGACCTCCAGATTCGGGCTGCTTTGTCCTAGGCTCGGTGGCAGATTGGGGTGCTGGTTTAGGATACTGGTTGGGTGGCAGGTTGGGGTGCTGGGCTGGGTGACCAACATGGGGAATCTCAGCAAGTCCCTAAAGGTGCTGTCCTTCAAGCCCCCTCTGCCACCACAGGAGAGACACAGATGAAGACAAACATATTCAGTGGCTCCTAGTGCCTGTGTCCTCAGGTGCCAGCCTTGGCTGCGGCGTTTTGGGCCTGTGCCCAGTGAGATGCTACTGCCGTGTATGGGCAAGGCTGGACGTGCTGCCTGTGGGACAGGCTGTCCCCTGGAAGGACCTCTGTCCTTACCACGGGTGCTTTCTGTCCTAGGTGGGAGGGGACTAGGGGCAGGGCTTCCATCCGGTGGAGATGCTGTCCCCATGGCTCTTGGCCAGGGCTGGGTCACAGACGTTGGGGAAGGCCATGGACTCTGTGTCATCCTAGGACTTTAGGAGTTTCCTACAGGAAGCACCCTCTCCCAGCTGCAGCTGACCTGCTGCTCACAGAAGACGACAGTGGGGGCATCATGGCATGACCTCCAGGGGACGCCTCATACCGAAAAGCACCACTGAAAACAATCAGCTGCTTCTGGTGGGGTGGCCTGTGACTCAGGTCGGGCGGGGCCTGTGACTTGGGTCGGGGCTGGCTTCCAGAGCAACTCCATGGCCAGGCAGGGGTCATGTCAGAGTGTAGTGGGATGGGAAAATAAAGAACGGGTATAATGATCTATCTAAAAATTAGTTCTTGGAAAAGTTCAGAAGCAACTAGACAGACCACTGGGAACAAAGGAAAGCGTGGGGGGCTCTGGGTGGCTGGGGGTCCCCTTAGGAGACAGGACTGACAACACCATGAGATATCCTGGGCTGGTGGGGGCAGCTGGGCTCCCAGGAAGGAGGTGCTTGGCATCTCCTGCCAGGCAGCAGAAGGGTCTCTGGGAAGGTGGTCCAGGGAGGGCTACTGTGTGGCTCTGTGGAAGCTGGGAAGGCGCAGTCCTAGGCTGTCCCATTTCTAGTCCAGCTTTCAAGATCAAGCCAGGAATTATAGAAGATCCAGGGATCCTGTGAGATCTAGGAATTCTGGGCAAGCCAAGAATTCCATTACTGCAGGGGAGGCCTAGTCTGGCCCAAGCTGTTTTGACAAACTGGCTACAAGGCACTTGGCTCTGCCTTGGCTGGCCTGGTGACCCCTCAGTCACCGTGGGTTCTGCCTGGGACTGGTCACTGAATGTATGAATGGCGGGGGCAGGGTGTGAGGGAGTAAGACACACGTCTGCCAGCACTTCCTATTGGAGAAAGGAGGGACAGAGGGTTGTGGTTCATGGTCCCCTTCAAGGGTACCTCTACAATGACCCAAAGGCCTCCTGAAGGTTCCACCACCTTCCAGCAGCACGGTGCTGGGGACCAAACCTTCAACATTCAAATTGTGCACCCAGTCCAACAAAGGCAGAGCACTCGGGGGACAGCCTAGAGTCAGCCCCTCCATCCCCACCATCTTTTAAAGATAAACCAGCAACGATAGGAAACACCACAGGCATAAAGCTGCAGTCTAGCTGCTGGTTGACTCGGTTTCCCTGAATTTCCCTGTTAAACTCACGGGTTGAAAAAGAAATAGTGGGCCTAGTGAGATGGCTCAGTGGGTAAAGAGAGCTTGCGACCAAGTGTGATAACCCAAGTTTGATGCCTGGGACTCACATGGTAGAAGAGAACTGAATCCCGCAAGTTGTCCTCTGACCACCTCATGTATAATGTGCCACACACACACACACACACACACACACACATACACATGCATGCATGCACGCACCCACACACGCACACACGTACACACACATGCGTGCACCCACACAATTAATTTTTTTTTAAATAGGAAGAGGAATTATAAAGTATTTTAAACTTAATGATAATAAAAATACAAATTATCAAAATTTCTGGGTCTGGAGAGATGGCGCAGCAGTTAAGAGCATTTGTTGCTCTTCTAGAGGATGCAAGCTCAATTCCCAGCAACCATGTTGGGCATCTCATAACCACCTATAACTCCGGCTCCTAAGGGAATGGACACCTCTGGCCTCCTCAGGCACCTGCACTTGGGTGCACTTACCCCCACCCCACATATATATTCATAATCTTAAAAAAGTTCCCAGTTGCAGCTCTCACAGGATGAGGGGGAAATGTGCAGCCCTGAATTTTTCTGCCGGACAAACACTTCCAGTTGGGCAGCTCAGCCTCCAGGTGAGGGAACCAGAAGAAAAGAGGAAGGTAAACTGGAACCAGTAAAGGAAGGCAGGCCGGAATGGAAAGCAGCAGAAAAGTGAAACGATGGAGAAGTCAATTAAACCAAAACCCAGTGCTTCAAGGATGTCCATAAATCAGTTACCAGAATTTTCAGAAAGTTGTTACCAGTGCCACGAATTAAGCAGTGCCCATAGCTCATATTTTATAGACACTGAAGGGGCTGTAGGGACAAAAGTGAACAATTAAACTTATAAAGTTTATAATTCAGGTAATAGAACATTCCTTAGGTTAAGGGGGAAAAAAATCCTTGGAACTTGTGCATGTTTAAATGATTCAACTTCATACAGAGATGATAACACATGATCAAGCAGGCTTTATCCCCAAACACAGGCCAGTTGAACACTCTAAGATCACACACTACAATCCAATGTTAACCGACCTAAAAAAACGAAGCCCCAAATCCAACATCCAGTCCTGTTTTTAAAAACTTCTCAACAGGTGTCACACCTCTTCAACCCCAGCACTTGGGAGGCAGAGACAGGCAGATCTTTATGAGATTGACGCCAGCCTAGTCTACACAGCAAATTCCAGGCCAGCTGAGCTACAGGGAGACCCAGTTGGAAAAAAAAAAAAACCCAAAAAGTAGAAAATAAAAATTCTCAGCAAACTATAGAAAGGATGGTCCTCCCAACGATTGTGAGAAAAGAGCCGTCTGTATCAAACACAAACTTGGTGTCACCTCTCATACCATGTACTCAGATCAGCCTAAAACCCAGGCCCAGGATGAGCAAATTGCTGCCTTACACTTCCTCAAAATTAAAAAACAACTTTTGGAACAGAGATGACAAAGCCACAGAAAAGGCCAATGGTGGGAGGGGTACACCCAGTTCCTCTGGTCAAGGGCATGCAATCTCTCTGTTTAACTCAAACAACATGCCATTTTTGATTTCTGTCCTTCATTCTCCTCCTCCAGGCAGCTGCTGAGATTTACAACATGATCCTTTTTAAAACTCTAATAAATTGTTCTCTTTGAATAAACATTGGCTTTGCTTTGATATTCAAATTTTTTCTCCCTTTTAATTCTTTAGCAACACACACACACACACACACACACACACAAAACCTGTTCCTGGGGCTGGAGAGATGGCTCAGCAGTTAAGAGTATTGACTGCTCTTGTAGAGGACCTGGGTTCAATTTCTAGCACACACATGGCACTAACTGTCCATAACTCCAGTTCCAGGGGATCCGATGCCCTCTTCTGACCTCTGTGGGCACTGCATGACACAGGTGAACACATGCAGGCAATACACTTATACACATTAAAAAAAAAAAAAGTTCCTAGGCCCTGGGTGGTGATGCATGCCTTTAGTCCCAGCACTTGGGAGACAGAGGCAGGCGGATCTCTGTGAGTTCAAGGTCAACCCGATCTACCTAGTGAGTTCCAGGTCAGCTGGGGCGACAGAGACACTGTCTCAAAAAAAAAAAAAAAAATTCTGTGCCCTAGACAGCCATCAGACAGTCCACCTGGCTAAGGGGAGGTACTGACAAATCATTAATCTAAAAAGGGCATGTATCCAAAGAATTCTCAACTCAACTCAAAACTAAGAAAACAAACACCCCAGTTATCAGCTAGGAGATGCGGCAGAAGAACTAGTCCCCAGCAAAGATACACAGGCCACATCGAGAGACACAAACCACGCATGTCAGTCCCAACCCAGAGCATCTGCAATCAGAGCTGCTGGCCCACCAGGTGTTGACGGTCGTGTGCCTATGGCGACCATGGGGTGTGACAGTGAGTCAGAAGTCAGCTCTGGTGGCTCCAACCACCCTCCACCCCTGCCTTCAGAGTATTCACCAGCAGAAAAGACTGCTGTGCAGTGCTGGCCAAGCACAAACACAGAAACTGGCACACTGACCTGGGCGGGGGTAGTACATGTGTACACATGACAGGATCCCATCTATAGACATTTCAGGAAAGCGAGGGAGACAGGCGACAGCTGGTATTGCTGAAGCTGGTGGCTGATGGGCTCAGGGTGTGTGGTTTATTGGCTATTGACGACGCCGAAAAAGTCGGTTTAACAATCCGCAGGGTGGCTCACCCCCAGCACCAACCCCCCCGCTTGTTCTCTGGTGCTGACACCCAGACCCAGTATACTGTCCACCCACTGACTCTAGTAAAGCTGCGGAATGCTCAGTGAGGGGCTGGGTAGCCAGATGAGTTCCCGGACACGCCCACAATCCTGGGGCAGCTAGAAGGGGCCACATCACTCCCTGGGAAAAGCGTGCTTTTACTGGACCCCTTCACCTAGCCCCGCTCTATTTCTAGGCCCCGCCCACACCCGGCCCCTTCCCACTAGCCCCGCCCTTCTCCCACAACACCCCGCCCACATTCGACCTCCACCTCCACTAGCCCCGCCCACCTCCAAGGCCCCGCCTATACTCAGTCCCTCCCGCCCTAGCCCTGCCCATCTTCCAGGCCCTTCCCCTATCTAACCCACTTTTCTTCCCCTAGGCCCCGACCTTACCTGACCCCGCCCACCTCCCAGGCTCCTCCCACACCCGGCTCCTCCCCGACCTAGCCTCGCCCTTCTTTCCCAAGGCTCGCATACTCGGCCCCTCCTCCACCCAGCCCTGCCCAGGCCCGTCCACACCCGACCCCTCACTCACCTACAGCCACGCCCATCTTCCACAAGGCCTCGCCCACACCCGGTGCCTCCCCCTGGCCCCGCCCACCTTCCACATGCTCCGCCCGCGCTCGGTCCCTCCTCCACCTAGTCCCGCTCTTCTTCCGCAAGGCCCCCCGCCCACACCCGGTCCCTCCCCACCTGGCCCCGCCCATCGCCCGCAGGTTCCGCCCATACTCTGCCCCGCCCCTTCGTAGCCCCGCCCTTCTCCCAGGCCCCGCCCCTCGGCTCTGGCAGTGCCGCTGGCCCCCTCCACTGCCAGCTGCTGCTGGGGTGGGCGCAGGGCGGTCGCGCTGCGTGGGGCGGGGCGCGGGTCAGGCTCCGTAGCGCCGAGCAGCCGCTGCCACGCAGGTAGCCGCCGCCCGCGTGGACCCCGCCCGCAGACTCCGGGTCCGGCCGCTGCCCTGCGCGCTCCCCTCCCAGCCGGGCAGTGCGTCCGGCCCGCTTCCCTCTCCCTGCCCCCGGCGCCTCGTGCCCGGTGCTGCTTCATTGATGCCTGCAATCCTCAGGATGTCATAGGTAGCGGCGTGCTCAGGGACCGGCATCGCATGCAAGTCCCAGGCTGGCCACCAGCCCCGCCCGCCCTCCGCCCGCATTCACAGAGGCCAGCCTGGAGCTGGGGGAGGGGAAGGGTGGATCCCAGGGCACTCGCCTAGACTCGGATCCCAGCTGTGGGTGGGTGACCAGGGCTGGGGCAGGGTTCTAGCTAGGAACCGTTCCCAGCCAGCTGTGAGCCTTAACTGTCTTTGTGGCTGGAAGATGCTGGGGGGCGAGGAGGCTTGGGGATCTTGGAGATAAGTTACAGAGCAAGGCATGTTTAACAGGATGAGGTCTTATCCCTAGACCTGGTTCGCCAATGGCATCCTCTCCCTCAGTGCTCTGGCAGCCCCAGCTGGACGGCAGTGGACAGTGCTGGTCACCCCTCACCTCTCAATCTCTTTTTCTCTTGTAGAACTGAGAGCACACAGCTGTTCCACGGGTGAGGACAGAGAGGACGAGAGTCTATTGGATGAGTACGGGCAGATTGGGAAAGCACACTCACCTGCAAATCCTATTGGAAAAGAGCCACCTGGGTCAGGTGGAGGCAAGATGGGCCCCAGGGGCAGGCACAGCACGGCGTCCCCGCTGCCCCCCTCCCAGGGATCTTGCTTCTTCCTCCTCTTCTGCCTGCGCTTGGGTGCCTCCTGCCCACAGGCCTGCCAGTGCCCTGATCATTCCGGGGCGGTGGCTGTCCACTGTAGTGCCAGGGACCTGCAGGAGATCCCTAGGGACATCCCAGCTGACACGGTGCTTCTAAAACTAGATGCCAACAGAATCTCCCGAGTCCCCAATGGAGCCTTCCAGCACCTGCCCCAGCTGAGGGAGCTGGACCTGTCCCACAATGCCATTGAGGCCATTGGACCGGCTGCCTTCTCAGGCCTGGCAGGGGGCCTGCGGCTACTGGACTTATCCCACAACCGCATCCGGAGGATTCCGAAGGATGCCCTGGGCAAGCTGAGTGCCAAGATTCGCCTGTCCCACAACCCTCTGCACTGTGAGTGTGCCCTCCAGGAGGCCCTATGGGAGCTGAAACTGGACCCCGACTCTGTGGATGAGATTGCCTGCCACACCTCAGCGCAGGAGCAGTTTGTGGGGAAGCCGCTGATCCAGGTGCTGGACTCTGGTGCCAGCTTCTGCAGCACCCATCACAAGACCACAGATGTGGCCATGCTGGTCACTATGTTTGGCTGGTTCACAATGGTGATTGCCTATGTCGTGTACTACGTGCGTCACAACCAGGAGGATGCCAGGCGGCACCTGGAGTACCTCAAATCCCTGCCCAGCGCTCCCGTCTCCAAGGAGCCACTCAGCCCCGTGCCCTAGCGCCTGCCTCCAGTGGGCCACCACACCTGGCTGCCATGGCATCTGCAACAGGTGGAGGTGACGGTGCTCAAGGTGTCCCCAGGGAGGTATGTCGTACATCCTGGAAAGCACTTTCACTGCTGGTATTTGGTCACTGCAGCTCTGGGCTGTCTACACAGCAGGGGAGCTGGCCCATCTTGATGGGTGGGGAAACTGAAGCTTAGAGAAATGGAATACCTTGCTGGGCCCGATCCACTTGGGACTTAAGCCAGGCTCCCTGTGATGCCAGTCTGTGTCCCCTCTGCTTGGTAGCCTTTCCCCAGTGGTGCTATGGGAAGTGAATATGTGTGCACTTAAGGATGGGGTCCTGGCCGGGAGGGTGGCTGTGGCCTCGTCAGCCAAGGCTCTGCAGTTGAGGTACAGGCTGGTTCTTCACCCAGGACTGGCTCCCTCTGTTTACCTAGTACCCTGAGTACATCTGAACACAGAGGTGTTGCCCTTTCCCAGAGCAAGGCACTGGTGATCCAGGGCTTTCTAGAGAGGTCAGCGCAAAGGGCAGCCCGCACTGACCTTTGCTCTGGGAATGTTTGAGTTGCCCTTGTGCCAAAAGTTCAGTCCATTAAGTAGAGGAAAACAGAGGAAACATGAGAAGAGTCCATCGTGGCCCACCAGGGCAGTGTCGGTGCCCTGCTTCCAGGTACTCCATCCGTGCCTGGCCAGTGGAAGCCTGCCAGCCCCCGAGGCTCCCGTGCCTTGCTTTTCTACTCACTGAAATCTAGAGCAGCCTTTTTCAGAGGCGGGGGGACTGGCGTTTGAGGTTTCCACACCCATCATCACAATACTTCTTTTCTCCAGCAACAAGAACTTTCTCTTTTCACCTTGCTGCTAGGAATCCCAGGGCTGCTTCGCTTTAATGTTCTTAAGCTATGTTACTCTATGTTCAGAGTAGATGTTACATTCACCTACACCTAACTTCTGATTTTATTTTTACTGTCTTTTTGGATAAGTGTTTATATTTTAAGCTACTTCAAGTATTTAGGAGGAGCTAATGAGTATAGATTGCAGATGTTGAGTGTCAGGTATAGATGCCTCTTCAAGCAGGAGCTTGAAGCTGGTTAGAAACTGAGTGTGCTTCTGTTTGGAAATTATCTTGTGACGTTCAGAAGAAAGATGAGGCTGTGCCTGGGATTGTCTCAGCACCACTATGGTCCCACAGTTCCGCCACCTAGAGACAGGGTGCACAGAGCCATGTGACATGGAAAAAAAACAGCTACAGATCCCAGACCTTGCCCACCGAGTGCCCACACCTACATTCCCATGAGCTCAGGCCCCGCCCATCCCTCCTCCCCTCTGCAGTGGACGCTGCAGGGGACAGGTCTCCTCAGGGTTGGCACTCCCAGTCAGAACTGAACCTTGAGGCTTCTACTTAGGGAACCTGGATGCTGGTGTCACAACTGTCTGGTCCACATGGCACAGACGTGGTCAGCATGTGGTGTCCAGTTTAGTGTTCAGAGAAGGCAGGAGCTAAGAGTAGGAAGAACTGGGTCTGGAATGTTCTGTCCCAAGGAGAGGAGGCTCTAAGGCCCCCAGCTGAGGGTGTGGGTTAGGACTGGGTACCATCCTGATGCTGTGGGGTGCAGAGAAAGTGGCCACGTCTGTCCCATGAGCAGGGGCACCTCCAGCCTGATACCCACTGTGGGGGGTGCTGGTGCACAGGACACAGCCAGTTCCTCCTGTGTGTGATGTGCTGTATGGAGCAGGTGAGGGAGGGGAGCTGCTGACTGGCCAGGGCGCAGGCTAGGTGGTGTCTGGACCTCTGTAGCTCTTCTTCCTTCATCCTAGGCAGTGGGGAGGCCATGTGTCAGGAGCTTGCCACTGACCAGCAGGTCTGCCCCACAGACATGGCTGTGGTCAGAAAAGAGCATGGATGGAAGCTGGGTGGCAAGGTCAGTGTCCCACAGGGATCTTCATGTGCTCTCGTTCCAGGATCGCCCTGTGGGGCTCCTCAGATGCACAGGGGGTGGGGCTCCTTCTCCTGCTGCCCCACTCACTGCCCCCAGCCCTGGGCTTGGACCTCTCTGGCCCTAGCTGTATGTCTACAGGGCTTCTGTGCAGACCCTGCTGGGAAGAGGAAGCAGGAGAAGGTCCACATGTGTGAACCCAGGAGAGAGCATGTCCTCCTCAAGAAGCACCCCAGGGACCCCAGCATTCTCCTGCTCACCCAGGCCCCCACCCCTGTGGCCTGAGAGTCGCAGTCCCTGTTCTCCCTCCAAGTGTTCCTGGCATCCCTCGGGCACAGTGGGTGGTCTGCACCATGACACCCAGCACTCTCCCTCTCCAAAGCATAGCTCACTGTCCCAAGTCCCAGCCACCAGGCCCTTGGTTCACTTTCCCTTCCACTAGGCACACATGGTTGCCTAAGGCGTGGTTCTGAATTAGTTCCCTGGGCAGAGGATAGGGCACAGACTGAGGAGGAAATGGAATGTTCTGGGCCTGTGGTGGCTCTCCTGGAAGCTCAGTCTTGAACCTCACTCTGCAGTCCTCTCAGCCTTTCTGTGAACCCTCAATAAAGCCTCCATGTTGAAACCCACTGCAGTGGATTCTGTCTGTATCCCACACCTGCCCCCTCCCCCAGCCCTGTCAGCACCTGCAGGTCCCCAGCTGAAGGAGCATCCGTCTGCCCAGCAGGGATACAGTGCAACCCAGCTAGACAGCTGACTGTTAGAACCAGCTCTGAGAACCACGGTTAAATTTCAGGAATTCTGGGAGCCAGTTGGCACATGGCACCTTGAATTTGATCATGGTGAGGGTCTACACCAGGGAAATTGGTAAACATTGCGAGTCAGGATTCCATCCTTGTATCCTGGGAAGTGGCCACCATTTTCATTGTGGCCTCCAGTCTGAGGCCAGCAGCATGTGGGTCACCACTCACTCATGGAACGATGCCTGCTCATAAGCTTACAGGTCATTGTCCACAACCATGTCAGAAATAAGTTCTCCATGGGGGCCCCAGGCCCAGGACGTGATTTCTTAAGGGCTGTGGCTCATGAAGTTCACCTTTCACTGGCAACTGGGGCCTCCTGACAGCTCCCCACCTGCTCTAGGGTCACAGGTGCCTGCTTGCCCCACCTAGCCATTCCACCCAGCTACTTGTATCACTGGGGATAGCCTGGTACTGACCTACCAGCCTAGGTCAGCTCTTTCTTTGTCCTAGTCTCCCTCGCTGTTACATACCCCACAACACTGACAGGCCCGGACACGTCTCAAGGGAGGAAGATCTTGGAGATCCTAGGCCTGGCTTCCATGTCAGCAGCCTAGCATCGCAGCCTCTTGACAGACAGGGCTCGTAGAGCATGTGGTCTGGCCTCTGGGCCTGTCTTTGTTGGCTGGGATCCCCTTGTGTAGGAAGGTATGCCTGCAGTCCCTGGCTTCCGTGAGATGGGGGGATGGAGATTGTGTCTCTGATCACCAGCATTTAGGATGCAGAGCGGTCCTTGTTACATGGACCCTGGTCCACAAGAATGAAGGTTATTGCCCAGGAGTGCCAGGACACTGTTGTGTTCCAATCCCTTGCGGTTTTCCTTAGTGAGAGTGGGCCTTGTGCTGGCCTCCGTCTCCTGGCCTGCTCACATGACTCCTCAGCTTCCTGGCTTGTCCTGCCCCTTCCTACCTCTCCCTGGAGTCCTAACTACCCAGAAAATGGTAGGCCTCTGTGGACACAGTGGTCATGTGGTTACTTGGCCTGGCCTCTTGGCTCTGTCTATGGACTGTAGAAACCATGAGTCCCTGTGGCCACCGCCTGTTCAAGCCTGGGCCCATAGTATTCAGGTGGCCACAGCACTCTGGCCCTTGGGGACATCACCTGGCACATTTTGGCTCCAGGTGCCCCTGAGCCTCTTCTGCTTTGATGTCCTCCCTCCCCATGCCAGTCTTTACTAGGCAGGACCTCAGTCGAAGAGCTGAGCTGTGACCCTGTGTGGCAGAGGGCACTACAGACAGGGTTAAACTGATGATCCCAAGATCTGGGTTAGGACAGGGGCTGGATGTCACACGGTCCTGATCAGAGAGATAGAGAAGCCGCTGCAAAGGTGTGAGAAGATGGCTGCCCTGGGGGGCTCGGGGGTGAGAGCCCTGCCACCTCCTGAAGAGAGTGGGGTATTTGGAGGCAGGAAGTCTGGAAGGAGTCCTCCCTTATGCATACACAAGGGCCAGAAGCCCAGGGACCCCTGCCTGTCTTCCCTCCAGAGCTCTGAAACACTCTACTTGCCTGGCCAGACCACAGGTTGGTGGTGGCAGCAGCCACGGTAGCTGAGGCAGTTGCTCCCCTTCGGGAGCTATCGTGTGGCCAGCAGGATGAGTTCCGGAACTGGCCTGTGTTGTTCCCAGGTCTCAGCTCTCCAGGACAGTGCCCAGTTAATGTGGCCAAGAGCCCTCAGGGTGTTCACGTCACCGGTCAGCCTGTCTTTGCTATGGACTGGCTTGTCCCTCCCAGGAATCCTCAGCATGGGCAGAGCAGAGACTGCCAGCTTCCACGTTCTACACACACACCAAAGTACACACACACACACACACCACACACACACACACCACACACACACATTACACTACAAATAGAACAGCCAAACGCACTGACATAAAGTCACATGCATTCGCACACACCTGCTCACTTAGGGGACATGCCTGGCTCACTGGCACCACACCCTTACTGCATACACACACCCATACACACACTTGCCACCCCTCTCACTGGAAGCTGGCAGAGCCTATGTGGCCTTTGGAGGGAGCGCTGCCCCTCAGGCCTCTGTCCTGGCATCTGGGGCTTTTCCCCGCTCAGGGGTCTCCCCCCACTTCAGGATCCATTTCATGACTTTCTCAGCTTATTCGGGTAGCTGCTGTCCTGGACTTCTGAGGACTGCTACTCTGCAGCCCTCTGAACCTGCTGTGGCCTCCTCCTCCTTGCGCATCACAGGCTGGGGAGACTCTGACCTAGTGCTAAGCTTAGAGGGAAGGGCCCTGCTTTGGAAAGGGCCCCTGGATGGTGGTGCCCAGGGCAGAGGTCATGCATGTAAGTGGGAGATGCTGGTGGAAGGAAGGTGTGTCCGGGAAACTGGGGCAGGTTGAGGGTCCAGGCAAAAGCCTGTGACCCCGTGGGAGTCTGGTGTTAGCCTGGCAGTTAACCAGGTCTCAACCCACAGTTTCTGCTCAGGACACAGCTGCTGACCAGGAGAGGATCACGGCCTCCACATCACAGGGCTAACTTGCCATCAGTCAGTATTCCACTTGGTTCTCACAGGAGCTGGCATTGTGGGTCCTGCAGGAGCTGAGGCCCAGCAGCTTGCTGGCTCCAGGCAGCCTGGGCTGGAATGCGTGTCTCTGACACAGGGTCTGGACACTGTCACTTGGGAACTGGGCCTTGGGGGTGTTGTCAAAACAAAAGACCAGAGCTTGTTTGACTACAAATGGAAGAACAGCCAGGGGCAGCATTTGAGGCTAAGCAGACATGGTCAGCCTGGCCCAATCTGCATGGCCACTGTGGCCAGGAGCGGTGATGCTCCATGCTTGGTTCTGCACCTGTAACCATGGCAACAACACTGCCCAGAAAGGGAGCGACACCCAGGCGTCACTGGGCGACATTAGTGGTCAGAAGAGGCCATGTGCAGGACTGTCTCCCTTCTTCCCTCACATTCTGTGAAGTGGGGATGAAGCAAGCCCTTAAGGGCTCAGCTGGTACCAAGGCCACATGGACAGCTTAGCCCTTAGGGAATGGAGACTCTGGCACAACTACTCGTAGCCCGAGGTGGAGATCCGTGAACCTCACTGTGGGTGCTCTGCCTGCCTCACACACAACAGACCCTGGAAAAGCTGGTGACAGATCTGGCAGGCATTCCCCTGACCTCAGGGACTCTGGGGTTCAGAGTCTGTGGGCAGCATTGGCCAAGTGGGGTTAGAGTTAGGGTCAGGCTTGGCCAAGACCACACCAGGACCCCCTCCATGGTGAGTGGGGGTAGGAGACCTTGGCATCACCACTTTCTCAAGCTCAGCAAGATAGGCACTTGTGGGAAGCCACCTGGCCCACCCCTCAGAGCTCATATGCCCAGTATAAACAGGGTGGGCTGCACAGGTTAGGGGTGCTGACCTGGCCAGGGTGACTCTTCTGTGCAGCTGGGCCCAGCAATCTGCAGACTGCCTGGGGTCTTCTGGGCCTTGACGAGCCTTAGGCCAGGGTGACTGGATCAGATGCCAGTGGGACACACAAACCCCAGGCCTCCCTGTCCTCTTCTGTCCTCTGGGGTTCAGCATCGAAGTCACTTTGATTCTGAGCCTGTCCATCTGGAAGTCACAATATCAGGACATGAAGGCGAAGGCTTTCCAGGCGCACATTGCCCATCACGGCCACCAGAGGAGATGACTCCGTGCGTTTTCAGTATCTAGCAGCTGTGGTCACGGACCTATGAAGGGTCACTTCTGTGGCCTGCTGGTGTAATGCCCCCTTGGCAGCTGTGGGCCCACTTCTCAGGACCCCCGTCAGACCATTTGGTACCTGTCCTCAGCTTCTGGCTGGGACCCTCTGTGTCTGTGTAGACTTTCTGCTCAGGTGGTTTCTGAGGGGACTGAAGTACAAAGTGAGCATAGGTGTGTCAACAGCATCAACAGTTTGTTAAATCGCAGCTTCACTGAGATCTAAAAATATGTAAAGTCGTATATTTCAAAAGCACCTCACAAACACTCTGTGTATCTGTCTTTCCTGGTCACAAACTACCATGCCGTTCTTTGTACCGTAGGAAAGCTTCCTCTTCGTATAGGAAAAACTTCCATTCTAGAAATGTTTATGTCCTATGCGTGATCTAACTTTCCTCGATTCCCAGCACCCATGTGGAGGCTAACAACCATCTGTAACTCCAGTTCCAGGGGAAATCTGACGCCCTCTTCTGATCTCTGTGGGAACTGCATGACACACATGCAGGCACGATACTCATACACATAAAATAATAAAAATAATAAACGGGCTGCAGAGATGGCTCAGCACTTAAGAGCACTGATTGCTCTTGCAGAGGACCCGGGTTCGATTCCCAGCACCCACATGGTGGCTACGAACTGTCCTTAACTACAGTTCCAGGGGAATCTGAAGCCCTCTTCTGATCTCTGTGGCATTGCATGACACAGGTGCACTAACATACATGCAGGCAATACACTCATACACATAAAATAAAAATGATAAAATATTTTTAAAATACCATAAATAAAAAATCACTTGTTATAAAAAATAATAAAATATTAAAAAAAAATAAACGGGCTGGAGAGATGGCGCAGCGGTTAAGAGCACTGATTGCTCTTGCAGAGGACCCAGGTTTGATTCCCAGCACCCACATGGCAGCTATGAACCAACCTTAACTCCAGTTCCAGGGGAATCTAAAGCCCTCTTCTGACTTCTGCAGCATTGCATGACATGGGTGCACTCACATACATACATTTAAAAAATAAATAAAATATAAAAATTAAATGAAATCAGCATAAGCCAAAGCCCTTAGCAGAATCACAGTAAAGTTTTAGAGTCACCCAAAGCCCACAGGTCAGGCAGACGCCTCTGACCCTGGCTTCCTCACAAGTTGTTGCCGGTATAGACGGTAGTGAGGGTGGAGTCTCTCAGTGAATGAATAAGCCCCCATTGGGCACCAGTATAGACTAAGCTGTGCCCCCATTCACATGTGGGAGCCCAGCTTCCTGTGTGATGATATCACCATCTGCACATCTGAAGGGCCCTTGCCAGTTGGACACTCCTTTCATGACACTGTCTAGACCACTGTAAGGGGCTACCAGCCTGGGACTGCAGTGCTTAGGTGCATCTGCACTGGCTAATGGTCTAGAACCTACAGGTATTCACAGGTCTACAGAGCCTTGAGACATAGGACCTGGTGTACCAGGTGGGACGTGCTGATGACACAGTACTGCCGTTGCCATGCATGCTGACCCAGGACTGCACCAAGTGCCCCATGTCGCCATCACTGGAGCCCTGGGAAGAGGCTTTTTACCCCTGTTGGAAGCAGTGTCCCAAGGCCATGGTGTCAAGTGACTTGCTGGGTTCAAACAGCAGGTGAAACAGGGATAAACAGGGATATGAACTGGATGGATCCCACTGAATGCCAGTCTTGATAGACAATGACCACATAGGACAGCATCCAGTCTCAGAGAAGCTTCTGGAGACACTCAACATGGGAACAGAGGACCATCATCAATGCACTCTGAGGGAGTTCTGTGCTTCAGACTAGGGCCAGATCTGTGGGAGGGGTCTTGGGGTCACTGCCCTCGACATAGTCCCTGGCCAGGGTGGGTTAGAAGGTATGTATACACATTTTCACCTGGGTATCTGTGGAAGGGTGTGCACATGTATGCATATGCCAGGTACATGTAGGAAAGTACATGTACATTTGTGTGTAAGTATGCATGTGTGTGGTTGGGAGGACAAAGGTGCAGGTAGGTGGTGCAGAGGTCAAAGGGCAAACCCTTGCAATCCTAGCACAGAGAGCAATGACCTTAGTATAAATAAAAGAATGCCACAGGAGGACTGTGAAGGTCATGTCCAGTCTTGGAAGCAGGTGACATGGGTGTGGTCACACATGCTGTAGGGAGCAAAGCTTAGAGGCCAAGAGCAGAGACTTCCTGCCCAGTTTCTGCAGGAAGACAGAGGCTTTTTAAGCATGTTCATTATCACAGACCGTCACTAAGGAGTTCCTCTGTGGTGGGGCACCGCCAAGCCCAGAGGCACAGCCGGTGAACACGCTGTGACTATCTGAAGGTTCTCTGCGCTCCCCTTTGACTCGCATTCAGAACTTAAAAACTTTGATTCACAGGTTCCACCTCTGTGTTTATTTTCACCCAGCAGAAGCGCCAAAGTCAGGGTGGTGCCCTTGGGCAGGAAACAAAGTACTGTTCCATTTCATGCTCACCGTGCTGGTGATGGTGATGCCTCCTCCCCTCCCTGGTGCCAACTCCCTGGGTGATTGGATATCCCAGTGACACCCATGCCTCAGAGACAGACCACTAGATGTCAGCTAAGTCCAAGAGGAAAGGTGCTTCTGTGCGGGGGGGGGGGGGGGGGGGGGGGTTCGAACCAGCGACCCCGGCGCAGTGATGGTTGGGGATGAATAAGCACGCCGTTCGCCAGCCCATGCCGCCCCCAGTACCGGGGACAATCAGACGAAACAGGGAGCCTAGTCAAGCAGGGACTCATTTATTGCAGGTGTTACAGAGCTTATAAAGGCACCTGGAAATCCCCCTCCCCCCCCCGAGGGTGTATCTTAAGGATGGTCACGCACTGATCATGCACTCCTCAGCAGTGCGGAAGTATCCTTCAGACTTTTAAAACAAGTCAGGCTGTGCCCCAGTAACTTCCTCTCGGACCTCTGCAAGGCGGGGTCCTAGGGTTAGCCCTAGGTCACGCCACCCCTGTGTGTATGCAGGCTCAGAGGTGGCAGGTGGTCTGGACTCGGGGTGTCCTGACTCCTGCTTGGGGATGTTATGCCTTACATACTTTAGTGCTCCCCAAATAAACAGAACCAGCTGCTTTGGAGTCTGAGGCAGGAGGATCAAAGTTACAGGTCAGCCTGGGCTACAGAGTGAGTTCAAGAGCAGTCTGAGTAACTTAATAAGGTCTTGCCTTGAAGCTAAAAATAAAACAAAGTGTTAGGGATTTAGCTTTGGCTTTAGTGGTAGAGTGCTTGCTTAGTGTGTGCAAGGTCCTGGAGTTAAGTGTCCCAGTACTTAAAGCAAATTAAATAAAAATTGGAGAGAGAGAGGGAGAGGAGAGAGAGAGAGAGAGAGAGAGAGAGAGAGAGAAATAGAGAGAGAGAGAGAGAGAGAGAGAGAGAGAGAGAGAGAGAGAGAGAGAGAGAGAGAGAGAAACAAGAATAAACAGTATAACAGAGAGGATGAGGTATCTGGGGACTGGCCCTCTGACTTTGAGGGTGGCAGCCCAGTGCAGCAAGGGCCAGCAGGCTGGAGACCCAGGAGAGCTGCTGGCACAGAAGGTCCAACCTGGTGGCCACCTACAGGTGTCCGTGCCCTATTCTTCAACTGATTGCATGAGGCCCACCTGTCAGCTTTACCCAAAGTTCAGATTTAAAAATTACTCTCATCTACAAATGCCCTCCGAATTGACACACAAGCTCTCTGGTGCCTGGGCATTGGTCTCTCCCCTTCTCTGTGTGGCCACCCCCACTTTGCAGGTGTGCCAGGGAGTCTATTTGTGGAGTGAGCCCCCAAATAACCAGCCCTTCCCCCAGCCTACTTGCCTCGTGTCATATTTGGGGTACATTTACACCAGGAAAATATTCGATTGTTTGAAGTTCAATTCTGTCTGGGCATTCTGTATTTTCACCTGGCAATCTTGGCCTACTCTCCTGGGAGCAGGAAGTCCAGGAATGACACCCTGGTCTAGACACACAGGCCCCCTGGCTACCCAGAAAGCCAGACCCAGGCCTCAGGGCAGTGGCTGCAGGATGTGTGAGTGCATGATGGGGCATCTCCACAGTCCTGTCAGGAGTCGTCCTAGCTTGCAGAGTGGTCCTCCCTACCCAGCTCACCCAGCTCAGCCCCATGGGCTGGGCCAGCCTGCCCTCCTGGGGCACACATTTCTACTACCCACAGACTCTAGAGGAATCCTAGCTTTGGGCACTGAAAAATCCAAGCTTGGGTATAGACTGAGGAAAAGTGGGCCTGCCTGGCATGGGGCTCCCTTGTAGAGACAGACTTGAACCCCAGGACTTCTTCACAGAGGTGGACCTGAGCCCTGGGGACTTCTTTATAGAAGTGAACCTGAACCCCGGGATCAGGAAGTCTGGCCTGTCTCGGTTACAACTCCACCTAGCCCGAGACACAAATATGAGGGTAGATGTGTCACTGTCCTGATGGAATAAAAATGTCAGACCCCCTTGGAGGTGAGACTTCAGGGCCCAGGCTTTGACTCTTGATGGAGGCACAGCACAGATGGAGGGACGCATACCACATGCTGACTTGGGATTCCTGACCTAACCTTGCCTCAGTGCATTATGGGTAAATGGAGGCTCGAGAAAAAGTTCCCTGAGGAGGATGCTTCTCTGATTTGGTGACTGAGGACAGCATGTGTCCACTGCTGAGGCCCCCAGAGAAATAGGACGCTACCCATGCTTTTTGTAAAGAGCAATATAAATATATTTCCACATATATAAAATATAATAAATAGGTGTTGTCATGATGTACATCTGAGCTGCACAGCAGGGGTGGCTGGGAGGGGTGGTGCCCAGGGGACTGCCAGGGCTCCATGTGTTTGAGGTAAAACAGGATAGAAACTGCCCCTTTAAGCCAGAATTCCTGCTGGATGCAGGCTGGGAGCACCAAGATTGGGGGGCAGCCCTGGGCCTCAGCCTGAAGGACCCCAGGGTCGTGGGAAATATGGCCACCAGTCACCAGGACTGTGGCTCTGGCACAGCCACCAGCTGGGAAGGGGTTAAGTGCACACTTAGGGAGTGTGCTCATCTTTGCCTGCCCCAGGACCAGAGTGTGCTGTGTGGATCCTGTCTGCTGCTCAGATCCAACTGCTCAGGAGAGGCACAGGGGTCCTGCCCACCGACCCTTGTTCTGAGATGGTTTCAGCCAGTCCGCAGGCGCAGGACCCTGGACAGGGGCTCCTTGGCGCTGGAGTAGATGAGGTATGAGCCAGCCGTCGTGTTGAAGGCCTCCCAGTCTCGGCAGCCAAAGGTGGGGAGTCTGTGTACTGCCACGAAGCCCTCGTAGCCCTGCCACCTGTGGGAGAGACGGTCAGTCTGGCTCCACCACCAGAACACGAACCAGCTGATTGGTGCTGTGTCCTTCTGGGCACGCAGGGGGCATGTTGCAGGGCCAGGAGGAACCGTCTCACTTTGCCAAGTGGGAAACTGAGGCCTGGGGGAAATCTGCCCTATTCAAGCTGTGCTGGATAGCTTTAGCTGTCAACCTGACACACCTGGGTAGAGGGAGCCTCAGTCGGGGAATTTTCTCCATCGGACTGGCCTACAGCCATTATGTGAAGCATTTTCTTAATTGTTGCGTGATGTGGGGGACCCCAGCCCACTGCAGGTAGTGCCAGCCCTGGGCAGGTTGTTTTGTATTGTATGAGAAAGCAGGTTAAGCATGGGCCAGGGGATCAAGCCAGTAAGCAGCATCTTTCCATGGCCTGTGCTCCAGCTCCGGCCTCCAGGTTCCTGCCCTGAGTTCCTATCTTGAGTTCCTTCAGTGATGAACTGTGACCTGGGACGTATAAGCCAAATAAACCCTTTCCTCCCCAAGTTGGTATTGGTCAAAGAGATTTGTCACAGCAATGGAGAATCAAACTAGAACAGAAATTGGTACCAGGAGTCGGGTATTGCTATGACAGACTTGACCCGGTAGTTTTGGGGAGGATTGTGGAAGCGTTTGGAACTTTGGGCTGGAAAAGCTGTTGAGTGCTTAGAGTTTGTGGTTGTGGAGCTTGGAACAATTATGCTGAAAGAGTTGTAGACGATGGAGGCCTGGCTTGTGAAGCTTCGAAGGGAAGCAGAGACTATCAGGGCTATTTGTGTGATATTTTGGATTGAGAATCTGTGGGTTCTGGTCAGCTGGGGCTGAAGAATCAGCTGTGATTAAGAAGAGACCAGAACATGAAGTAAAACCTTTGCTTTACTGGGACAATTGATGCTGGTTAGCTGGGGCTGAAAAATCAGCTGTAAGTAACAAGAGACCAGCATTGCTGTGCTGAAATCTGGGAAGTATTTCCTTAGGGTCTGCACACAGAAGCTGTGATCAAGAGGAGACCCAAGCCTCCATCTCTAGCTGAGAGCAGGACTTGGTAATGTGTAAGAGTCTCCTTCATGGTTCTGGTGTTGAAAGCCTGAAGGGGTCACAGAGAGCAACTGAGGCTTGGCACTCTGAGAGGCCAGGAAAGGTCATTGGAGAAAATGCAGCCTCAGTTTCAATGGAGACCCCAGCTTTCTGGAGATGCTAGGACTATGGGATGACCACCAAGGGCAGCAGCAGGTGTAGAATGCCAGCTTGGGCCTGTGTGTGGATGGTAGAGCCAGAGAAGTGGAGCTGCTAAAACCCTTTGGAGTCCAGAAGATCATGAATGAATCCCAGATGTGCAGCCTTGAGCTACTTTCCTGGACTTAGGTTAAGTGTGCCCGATTCTTCCCTTTGAAATAAAACAACACTTAACTTGTTTTTAATTTTGCAGGCGCCCATAGTTGAGAGACTTTTTAAAAGAGACTTTGAACCTTTAAAATGTTTTTGTTAAGGACTGTGGGACTTTTAAAGTTGTACTGTTTTATGTTGTGATATTAATATTAACATCATACCTTGGGGATAAGAAATGGAAAGGTTGCCGTTTAATAGTGATGTGTTTGTGTGTCAAGTTGACATGGGATCATTTGTGCTGGATAGCTTTAGTGTCAACAAGACACACCTAGGTAGAGGGAGCCTCCATTAGGGAATTGCCTCCATAGGACTGGCCTGTGGCCATGTCTGTGGGGCATCTTCTTGATTGTTGAGTGATGTGGGAGGGCCCAGCCCACTGTGGGTGATGCCACCCCTGGGCAGGTGGGCCTGTGTTGTATAAGAAAGCAGGCTGAGCAGGGGCCAAAGGACCAAGCCAGTAAGCATGGCCTGTGTTCCAGCTCTTGCCTCCAGGTTCCTCCATGGCCTGTGCTCCAGCTCTTGCCTCCAGATTCCTACCCTGAGTTCCTACCTTGGGCTCCCTCAGTGATGAACTGTGACCTGGGAGATATAAGCCAAATAAACCCTTTCCTCCACAAGTTGGTATTGGTCAAGAGTGTTTTGTCACAACAATTGAAAGCAAACCAGAACACAAGGCCCCAAACCTCCCTCAAACCCACTCAGGAACCTGCCTTGGGCACCCCAAATTTTCAGGACAGTGTGGTCAGCAGTCCTGACTGTTCCTGCAGGTCTACAGAACCAGACTCAGTCCAGCACAGTGCCCTCTGCCTTAAGCCACAAGAGCCACACTCTTTGTACCTTACTCTGAGGTCAGCAGGTTCCCAGAAGTTGCCTTTCCAAAGGACACATTCCCCGCAAGTGGGCTTCATTGGTCACATGGTAGAATCCCTGAGTGGCTCCTAGGTCAAGGGCACTAGTGGCTTTGACATTAATATTTTTTCAGATTATTTGTCAAAAGGTGTCAACCCTCAAAGCCAGTGGATCAGTCCTCAAAAATACCCCATAAGAACTGGCCACACCGCCCTGTAAAACCAGGCCACCTTGAAATGAAATGTTAGTCACATGTCCCACATATCCTCCTGAATGTTTTTTTTTTAATGTAGATTTTAGAACCATTTAAAAAAGATTTTTAAGCCAGGTGTGGTGGCACACACCTTGAATCCCCAGTACCTGGGAGGCAGAGGAAGGTGGATCTCTGTGAGATCAAGGCCAGCCTGGTCTACATAGCAAGTTCCAGGCCACCTGTGGCTACAGGGAGACCCTGTCTAAAAAAGACCACTCTAAAAAACAGTTTTTAAATTTTGTATGTGTGTGTGCCTTGTTTGTATGGGCACCATGTGCATGCAGTGCCTTCGGAGGCCAGAAGAGGGCATCAGATTTCCTGAAGCTAAAGTTACAGGCAGTTGTTTAACCTAATCACAGAAATGGGCAAGCTATTATTTAAACCATTCTGTCCACAGGTGTAGTGAGAAACTGTGCCATTTTCTAATGAACTCAGGTTCATGTCCAACTGGCTAATGGTGATCCCCTTGAGGATGTCACAGACCAACTTCATTTCCTTGTATAAATCAAAGGTCCTAAGCATCTGCAACTGGAATCCAGCGGCTGGAGGAATTCTGAATCGGCTCCAATGGCTCAGCTCAGAACGAATCTCTATTCATCACACCAGGAGCTCAAGAGGAATACCCTCCCACCCCAAGGTGCTATGAACACCCAAGGAAACCAAGAATGGGGCAGGCCACTCAAGATGCCAAGGAAGCATCCCACCAGAGCTGGGTGGGCACAATTACTGCAGCCCAAGATTGTTCTGGAACTTAGTTAGAGAAGCTTTGGCAGGCAACAACTTGGTCAGGTGACTAGAGGCAGAAACTGGTAAGATGCTGAGGATGGAAAAAATACCCCATCCGTGACAGAGCACTCAAAAATCCCTAGGAAAAATGTCAGGGGATTGCTGCAATGTAAAGGAAACTGAACCCCAAGAATTCCCACTTGTCACGCCCAATGATGCATCTTCAGCTGTCAGTCAGCATCTGAGAGGGCGTGGCCTGACTCAGCAGCCTCCAGTATGTGCAGCCTGGCATCAGGCGGTGCTTTGCTCTGGCCAGACCTGGGAACACTCCCTCAGGCAGAAGGCCTTGATGTGTTCTGAGCCAGTAGTCACCTGTGAAGTAAGGGGAGCCCCACCACCATGAACCTCTAGGTAGGGGGGAGGGACGCTGGCCTTCAGCAGTCCTTACCTGTAAATAATACTGTTCACTGAGAAGCTGTTCCCATCAAAGGAGTTTGCAACCACCAGAAAGTGATCCTCTCCCACTGAGAAGAACTCCCAGTCCAGAGCACTGAGGAGACAGGGAGCCACCCTGAGAACCCAGCAGATCAGCAGAGCCATCGCTGGCCCCAAGCTGGGCTCAGGCTGGTCTCCTCTCCTTGTTGTGACACTTATTTTATTCTAAAACTCATTCTTAGCAGGCCCACTGTTACAGTCCTGGGCTCCCAGTGTCACATAGCTCCCTTAGGGGCCAATGAGACACATAGCTCCCTCCAGGACCGATGGGCCCAGAGCCCACAGGCAGCTCCACTCAGATTGGTTCTGGGGTCTTATCTGGACACTGCTTCTTGCTCTTCTTGTCCTTTGTTCCAAGATTCTTTTTTTTTTTTTTAAACTGTGTACGTGTGTATTGCCTGCATGTAGGTAGATGCACCTGTGTCATGCAATGCCCAAATTGGTCAGAAGAGGCTGTCAGATGCCCTGGGACTGGCGTTATGGACAGTTGTTAGCTGCCATGTGGGTACTGGGATTCGAATCCTGGTCTTCTGCAAGAACAACCAGCATTCTTAACCAGTGACCCATCTCTCTAGCCCCTGTTCCAAGCTTCTTCTGGAGCTTTGCACTAGTTAAGACAACTAAGTCATCAGCAGAAGACTTGGCAGGAAAGGAGGCCGCTGTCTTCATTGCAGAAGCATCCATGCTCTTAACTTATTAATTTTAATTTTAAAACAACATAGATATTTATAAGTAAACATTGTGGACACCTGTCAACCAAAAGATTTGGAGGCAAATGGGCCCAAGTATACGGTTCATTCTTTCTTCACCTGCCTGTACCCAGCTGTCCATTTCTGGCATGACCCTGTCTGTGGCCTGTGTGCTACCTGTACCCAGCTGCCCGTTTCTGGGGTGACCCTGTCTGTGGCCTGTGTGCTACCTGTACCCAGCTGCCAGTTTCTGGGGTGACCCTGTCTGTGGCCTGTATGCTGCCCACAGAATGTTCTCCCTGGCACTTACAGCTATGCACATCCTGAAGAGCAGGTTAGGCAGGACCTGACAGCACGTGGTGGGGAGGGTGGCTACAGATATACAGTCAGGATGCATGCCTCAGGGCCTGGACCTCACTGGCATTTGCTTTCCTGTAATTTACTCACATAGACAAGCCATTTCTCCCTGTGGAGGTGCTAGGCCTTCTCTTAGGGCAATCTCACACCTCCAGGCCACATGCACAGGGCCAACCGTAGGGATGGGCCCTGTCATCACACCACCTTCTCTAGCCAGGTGTCCCGAGAGGAGCTCTGGGATGACCCCCTTCTGGCCATTGGGTGCTGCCCACCCACAGACTCACTCTGCCCTTCATCCAGTCTGGCTGGTACCTGCAGGTGGGGATGTCTTGAAACTTGACAAAGGTCTGTGCGGTGACGTTTAGCTCGTAGATGACAGAGCTGAGGATGTAGGAGTCATTCTGCACGTGCATCTCCACATTGTAGCTGTGACTGTTGGCGACTGCGAGGAAGACCCTTTCACCGATGTGGAAGACCTCCCAGTCTGCAGCGCCAAACGTCTAGAGCCAAAGGACGGTCATGTGGCAGGGCTATGAGTATCTTGGAAGCCATCGTGTCCCCAGGGTACTACAGCCTCTGCTTGAGGGAGCCAGTAACAACTGCCCCACTAAGCCCACTAGCTGCTGTCCTAAGATCTGTCTACCATAGCTCCTCCTCCCAGAGCCTCCTGACTCCCCCCATCCAGCTCTAAAACAATGTTCAGGATTCACAGAGTTTCTATGCTTGCTTCCTCCAGGGGTCACTCAGAGAGGTGGGAGGTGGTGGGGGAAATGTGGCCTTTACCACAGACCTGGGGCCCTGTGAACTCATTTGTACTAGGGGCCTGTGAGGAGCCTTGGGGAGGAAGTGTCACAGGGGTAGGACACATAGAAGGAGAAGGCTGAGACAGTCCGACCCTGGGAGAAGGAGCACTTTCCCAGAGAAGCAGCAGCAGAGGCACACAGTGTCACAGTAGGTGACCACCAGGAAGGCAGCAGGGTTGGGGGTCAGAGTGTGGGAAGGAACATGGGGTAACCCATGTGAGGGTCTGTGGCTGAGGAATACCAGTGGTCCCAAGGGGCCCACAGCCCGGGGGCTGTGTGGCCTCAGCTTTGGCTTCAGTAGGAAGGGTGAAGGGTTAGATCAGCCCATCTGTCCCTATACCATGGAGATATAGGCTAGCCCCTGGCCAGTGTCCTCAGAGTATTTCTTTGATTTTCTGCTTCTGGTCCTTGATGGGAGCTTACATCACAGCAACCTGCTGTCTGCAGGACACCCTACCGAACATCTGCTCCAAGGCACTGGAGAGGCCCACCCTGAAGCAGGGAACCACACAGGGTGGGGTCATGTTGACTTGACTCTGACCACAACGGCTACCCATGTGGCACATGGGGTTTGTGGTGGGGGTGACAGTATGTGGAGGGCCAGAGGAGTCAGAAGAGTGTGGACTCAACTGCAAAGGGAGGGAGTCCTTGCCTCCTCTTAGTACCTTTCTCCCCAGAACTGCAAGGAGTCAGGGGAGCCACCGCCTGGAGGGAGCAGGTGGGGCACCAGAGTGTGAGAAAGGCAGAAAGTGGGGCATGTGGTGGGAGGCAGGACTTGCAGTGAGAGCCACACCCAGTCAGAGAGCTCTAGAGACCACCATGGGGTCTCCACAGCATCCACAAAAGCCTCACAGGTGAGGGAGGGCCTCACTAAGGACCAAGGACCAAGGGCTAGTGCCAGGACCTAAAATCAGAACTAAGGTAGGCACAGCAAAGCTCATGCTAAAACTCAACTTCCAGAGGTGACGGGGCCCCTGTAGGGTCTGCTAGGCTAGCTCTCACCTCTACCCAAAGTCTGTTAAGCTTACCCTCCGCACCTAAACTTAGACATTTAGAAAGTTATTAACAGCCAAGCTTGCCTAATGACCTGTAGATGTAACAAGTTCATGCGCCTGATAAGTTTTAAAATAAATGGATGGTAAACAGAGAGATGAACCCACTGATGATCTTTAAGAAACAGATAAATATAAGGGGCAGAGGGAAAGACAGGACCCAGGTAGCGTATAAGAGTACACCCTCCTGATTACTAGGCCGCTGAGAAAGGAAGGAAGAGGCCTGCTGAAAAACTGTTCTCTGCTCAGTCAGCGTCCCTGTCATCCAAGCTGCCACCCTGCTTTGCAAGGTCATAAATAAACCACCACTTCTGCTGCTGAGTCTCCAGGTGCTGTTTATTACGAAGGCCTTTCTCACATCTAGGATCCAACAAGGAAGTGCTACACGTGGGAAAAACAGGCAAGAGAAATGACGAGAAATGACCAACACCACAAATAGCAGCATCAGCAGATGAAAACATTACAGTAATATGACTCCACGGGGGCAGGTGGAGGACTCAAAACAGACACGTGGGGGCTGAGAAAGTTCTGGAAAGATCACACAGGAAACAGCGCCCAGTCAGGGCTTCACTGGGAGCACAGGAACTGGATAAAAAACCCACAAGCTGGAAGGAAAGCAAAGCACTTCATCAAAATAAAAGAGGACCAGGCCACAGAAAAGGCGCCTCAGAGGCGGACAGAAGAACGGCAGGCGTAGACTTCAGGAAGCGGCGCCTCAAAGTTTTCCAAATCTGATTTCAAACACAACTCAAATAACTGAAAACAGAAGACACAGGAGAGTTAGGAGGACTGAGCGGATGGGGCTTCCAACTCCCAGGGTCATTGCTGCAAATCCCCAACCATTGGCAATGCCCAGCCAGTCATAATCAAAAAGCCTGCTGGTTGTTGGTGGGAAGTCCACCCACAGGAGAGTATCCTGGGCAACACCAATGAGGGAGAGGCAGAGGGGTTCCCGAAGGGGAGGGCCCCAGAATCCTATAAAAGTCCAGACCCAGAGTTCTGCTTGGGAATTCCCAGCTCTGGGGCTCCCCTTCCAGCCTGAGGAGAGCTGCCGGTTTGCAACAATAAAGTTTGTCTTCATACTGCTCTCTCCCTCTCCCTCCCCCTTGAAAACCCCTTTCCCCTCATAGTATTTTTACTGTTGATATATAAGTGGTACAAAATAACTTTCCAAGTGAAAGAAACAAATCGATCCTTGGAACTCAAGGAGTAGGCAGCCTAGCAGAATCAACAAGCTCTAGGTTCAGGGAGAGGCCTCACCTCAAAAAGCAAGGTTCAAAGCATCCAGGAAGACATTTGAGGTCAACTTCTGACTTTCACATGCATGTGCACATAGCTACACACTCATATTCTCTCTCTCTCTCTCCTTCCCTCCCTCCCTCTCCCTCTCCCTCTCCCTCATTAATGTTTACTTACACTCTGTGCCTGTCACACCCTAGTCTGACCTCTAAGCTCTCGCCCCTGCCCTAGTGCTTTTGCAGGAGCCACAGCTTTCCAGCCACCGCTCAATCTCTCCCTCTGTTGCTCTAACCCACCCCCCAACTGTATTTCTCTGACTAGGTGCCCCAGATGGAATGCACAAAAACCAGAAATCCTCTGAAGACTGCTGCTGGCCTTATCAATCAGTCCCTGCTGTCCCTCCTGGGAGGACTGTTTATGGAAATAGCCTGTTTTCCAAGACAGTCAGGTCTCATGTGGGTAAACCATCCCAAAGAGACCATAGATCCTTGTTTCTCAAGACAAACCAGAGCAAATGGTGCCAGGGAGGGCCACAAATTTCCCTACTGCCCTGATCCGCACATAGCCACAGTTGTATCCTATATAATCCCTTCCCCTGCACAGTTGGCTCCATCATGATGAAGGCTCCTGCCCCTCACTGCGCTGAATAAACAGTCTAGTCTGAGGTCAGGTGTGGTCTCTTTCTTCTAACCTCCCCAGCAGCAGCGGGCCCTGCTCACTGGCTGCTCTCCCCCAACCCCGACTGCCAGTCCCCCCACCTTTTCCTCCTCCCACATGGGTCTTCTGCCTTTCCCAGATGTTTACTGCTTTGTTCAGCCCATGGAACAAACTTAACAACCACCCCTCGCCTCCAAACCCTGTAATGCAGCCTTGACCTTCCCAGGAAAGCGCACAGCAGTGCAAGTGACCGGAGCTTCTATCAGGAACCATGGGTGCCCAAAGTCCACAGAAAAACACATTCCAAGTAGCTCACAGGAAAAATGAATCTGATCTGACAGTGAAAATATCCTTCAGAGGGGCGAGAGAGATGGTTCAGCGGTTTAAGAGCACTGGTTGCTCTTGCAGAGGACCCAGGTTTGATTCCCAGCATCCACGTGGCGGCTAACAATCATCCATAACTCCAGTTCCAGGGGATCCAACACCCTCTTCTAACCTCTGCGGCCATCCGCCACAAGGGTGCACCTACTTACATGCAGGCATCACACTCATACTGACTGAGCTATCCTGTCGATCCCACTCCAGGTCTTTTTGACCTGCCTTTGGCAGAGGTCAGTTAACCTTCCTAGCCTGCAAACTCAGGATGGTACTGTACTACCCAGATGCCCCAGCTCCCCTGCCACTCCCTGGGCCTGGCTGAGCACTTAAGAGAAAAACCCAACTCCCAAATGTAACTGCATTCTCCCCACGGGCAGCAGAGGGTGCCAATGCCCAAGGAGGCAGGAATCAGCTGGGAACCCACAGGAGGAGGCTGCCCTAGAGAACTATCCAGAATCTGAGGAGGCCTGAGGGAGCAGGGAATGAGAGTCAGCTAAAGAATGAGACCCTTAGGGTCAGGGGCCCAGGAGTCCTGAGGTCATGGAGCCCTGGGAGGGCTGGAGGGTGGCTGAGGCTTTCTGGAATCAGCACATCTCACAGGGCTGGCTAGCTGTTGGGATCATGTCACGTCCTCCAGGTGGACTGAGGCACTTTTCAGACCGCCTGCTCTGTTGTTGCTTCGCCAAGCACAACGGTCAGACCACCCACGTGCAGCACATATACCATGGGCACCCTGACTGTCACAGCATCAATCCATGAAAGAAAGCAGGTACCAAGGAGACTGTCACAGTCGGCAACGAGCCCGTGCATGCACCTGTGCACACGCACACACACAGGTACGCTGCTGCACGCTCATGCCCAGTACATGTGCACGTGTACACACAGGAATGTAATTGTGCAAGCATGCAGGAGCATGTGCACAAGGGCATACTGTGAATACACAATGCATTTGCACACCTGTGACTGTGTCAGTATACACACAAGGTATACAGGAATACCTCTTCCCTATCTAACATACATTTGCCTGCAAGCACACATATGAAGGGCACATACATGTGCCCAGGCAGGTGCCTGCAGGCACACACGTACATGCCCACACTGTGCCCTCTCCTCCCAGCTAAGTCACGTGCTTTCTGCTCACCTGTGCTGAGTCAGAAGCTGGAGGGGGTTTTGCAGAGAAAGCCCCAATAGTGGCTGTTCTGTACCACCCAGGGTGGCTGGAGGCCCCCACAGGCTCTCCTAGCACTATGTAAGGGGTGCCAACCTCCTGCTAGTGCCAGGCCAGGCACAGCGCCTCAGTGATGAGCCAGATGTCCTCCCTGCCCTCCAGGAGCCCATAGCAGTGGGGCAAAACCTCACATAGGGGCATGGAAGGGACTGCCTAGGCCTCTGAGAACAGAAGTGACAGATGAAGGAGGAGGCAGGAAAGGGTCTTGGGAAGCAGGAACAGCAGGGCACCTCAGGGCATGTGGGGAGCAGGGCCAAGAAGGGGCTGAGCAGCTGAGGTGGCTCTGGGCTCCAGTCAGGGCTCCAGGGAGACAGAGCAGGCTTCTGAGTGCTCAAAGATGAGAGCAGATGTGTCAGAGGCTCTGGAGCCCACAGGGCCTAGGAAGAGGCCACATGAAGTGTGAGCATGGCATCATGGGAGTGTGGGGCTCACCCTACAGGCAGGTCCTAGGACTAGAGCTTCAGGTCACCTCTCAGAGAAGCTGCTCCATCCCCAGAGCACAAGCAGCACAAGGCTTGCTGCTGCCCCAGGGTTGGGACTCAGGCACTCCTCTCCTGCCTGAGCCCAGCCAGGGCCAGGGCGTTGACTTAGGGTGCACATCCACCTGAATCTCAAATAGGCAAGTGTGATATTCTCTCTGCGTATCTCACACAGCAGCTGAGAGATACTCATGACAAACATTATTCATTTTTATCTGAAATTCATATTGTCCATGGTACCTGGGTACTCTGGGGTGGGGGCTGGCAGAGACCCCCAGGAGCCTTGCTGACTCATGCTTTGAGCCCTTAGCTGGCCAGGCCCACAGTTGACTAGTCACTAGCTATCACAGATCCCCAGGTCTGGCAGCCAGGAGTCCCACACTGGCCCTCTGTGCACATAGTTCCTCCCACTCAGGCTCAAGCTGCTCCAGCATTCACAGCTGAGGGAGGGGGCACTTACTTAAGAACACTCTGCAAAGCCCTGACACTGGAGCCCAGGAAATGAGGCACCTGCTGAGCTGGGAGGCCTTCCCTCCCTCCCAGTGGAAGTCCCCTGGAGGGCCACTTGTTGCCCAGGGATTGGGTGCATGCTTGAAGGGATGATGGTACTTCCAGGACCTCTCACCAGGAGCACCTGGCACCCCACAGCTCCCATTAGGGTGGGCAGGCACCCAGAAGATTAGTTACTAGGTAAAAGAGGCCCTGTGCCTGACTTGGATGGGGAAAAGGATGTCTCTGTAGCCAGGAGAGGAGGGAGGGGAATGCTTGGCCAGGGTTTCCCTGGCTGCCCAGGGGAGAAGGATAATGGCCCTGTGGGAGATCAGGTCAGGCAGACACCCAAGGCTGCAGGGAGATGCACTTCCTAGCAGACTGCTGAGAGGCCCATTGTGCTCTTGCCTGACCACAGGAGACTCCCCCCAAATCTGGTACCTCCGTGTGCTGCCAGGGCCACTGCCAGTTCCTGTCACAGTGGGTGCAGAGGTCATGGGAACACTGCAGGTCCTGGAGCTTTGACCAGCACCCCCAGCATTTGCAGTGCTGGCCTCTGAGAGGGTCACTCTTACATCATACCCACTTTACAGACCAGGGAGCTGAGGCAGAGAGAGACATACTTGTAGCCAGGCCTTGGGGTGTCTGTGATGGGAATGTTTTCCACGTGGCACAAGCATATGTCAGGGAGCGATGGTTCTGACCATCAGGAATTGCACAGCATGCGTTGGGGGCATGTGTGTGGCCGCCTGTTCCTGGTGACCTGGTGGTCACTGCCGTCCTTGTCACCTCACAACCCTTAGTGACAATTCTCAGGCCAGAAAGCACAAATGTAGGCAGACCAAAGTCTGCAACACACGCAGAAGCAAAACCCCATCTGCGTGATGTCGGGGACTTTGCAAGGCTGGTGACTGAACCCAGGGCCTGTGCATGCTATGCAAGCTCTCTACTGTGGAGCCATACCCAGCCCATTCCCAGAGCATATTCTGATTAGAGAATTCCCCGGGCAGGTGAAGAGGTACAGGGTTTGCTGCCTTTTGGGACTGGTAATCTGGGGCACAGGGCTGTAGCTTCATAATTGATGCTGAGACCTTGCCTGACACCATCATCTGGAGTTCTGACCTGAAACAAGCCCAGTACAGATACACAATGATGCGGAGTCTCCCTCTGCCTGCCCTGTGGGGCATTTGGTACAAAATGGCAGCGCTGACTGTTACAAGCTCCTGGGGGATGGAAAATGTCTAAAAGAAACAGTGTAGGCTCACAGGACCTCAGCAGCATCCATGTGAGGCTGTGTTAGCATGCATGCATGTAAACATCATGTGCAAGCATATTTGTGTTTGGTGCCCCTGCCCTCTCTTGAGACTCTGGCAGGAGCAAAGGGACTATTTGGTCCTTTCTGTCTTTTTCTGTGCCTGAGGGCCTTGATATTCTTGGAAATATCTTCCCACAAGCCCGTACTTCACCCCCCTCAAGCTCCCTGGACAGCATCTCTGCCCCACTCCTTTTCCAATTCCT